AGGAGAGAGAGAGAGAGAGGCAAATGCAAGGATGATAAAATGTTATGACTGATCCAACCACTCTTGTCTAAAAGGTGTTTGGCCCAACTGCTTTCAGCATGAGAATAACAACAATGAGCCCATCAATCCGTTGCCTCAGTCCTGTTGTCAACCTATTAGTATTGGAGGGAAAAACAGATGGTTTCACGATTGGCCCCTGTGACTTGGTTAATTCGATGCTTGATTGGAATGTCATGCTCCATGCTGACTAAATTTTCATGATGCTTAGCCTTGTCAGAATTGTCCTCATGGTTGTGATTTACCTCAGTAGGTGCATAGAGTAAAAAGATCCTACTACGTCCCTTAATTATAGGTAAAGCACAAAGTTGAAACTACTGGTATGAGGAATTTTTAAAAATATAACACCTCAAAATTGGGACATGCTCATCAGTTCAATGTGAAATGGAAAAATAGAAAGAGCATTGCTTGTTTCCAAATACTCCAAAAGATATAATGTTTTTACATATGAAAAAGCCTCTAGGAAAGCACAAGATAAATGCCTTAGGAATTGGGATCGTGGTTTATGCAAAGAAGTGTTGCTACGTAATCACAATTGATTGGATTCCCTTTTGAAGATTCAGTCAAGTACAGATCTGTAACAAATCTGAACTGATTGAAGTTTAGTTCAAATTAAATCTATTAGTACTTTCTAATCCATTTGATTACAAATTTCAGCAAAATAACTTAGAATTCTGCAGTGCACCTCTCCCAAGTACGATAAAAATTATTTCTAGTTTATATTTCCAAGTCACATAATAGTGACATGCACAAGCAACCGGCATTTGAAATACATGCCTAACAAGAAAACTAGAGCACATTTCAAATAAGGGAACATTGTCCCGAGCATTTCAAATGGGACAAATGCAGTGCACACATGAAAAGGTACTCTAACATAAGAGCTGCATATTTTCGTAAAGCACATTTTTATACAGAAAAATGGAACATGTATTCATGCATGTACTTGAAAGGATATAACTCTTCCAATTGTCAGGGTTATGAAATAATTACTGGGAAAAGGCTTCTTCCATGCAAGGAAATACAATTCTCCAACTGAAGACTCACACTCATGGTCGTTTATGTGATAGTGCAAACTGTGTTTAAGACTTTCAAAAGAAACAAACCAGAGGAAGTGAAGAAACACGCATGATCTCAAAAATAGACATATGAAAAGGGTTTGGGATCTAGCCCCAAGTTCGTTTTTTTCTTTTTTTTTATCAAAAAAAAGAACCTCTCACCCACAGGTAAAAGAAAGGGCCATAACCCGGTGCTGGTCCCACCTAAGTAGGGTACTAGGAGGGGTGGGCTGGAAACGGTCCTAACCTTTGGCTTATGCACAAAGTGGCCAACTCTCAGGACTCGAACCCACGCTCTTGCGCTGAATTGAAAGAATAAGACACAAAATAACCAACAAAGATATAAACGTATCTAGTGATATTAGACAAGTGATATGTGCTCCTATTTCCCAATCCCCACCCAATTCTTGCAATCCCTTAAAGGAAGCAAGGGGTTTGATCTAGCTTGTGTTAGATTTGGTCTTATGGGCCTTTGATTTTCTTTAAATCCATTCTCTTGGTTCAATTACTTGATCTCATGCACCCTAGGCCGGGAACCCTCCCTCCCTCCCTAAAAGATTCAAAGGGACCAAGAAGAACCTCAAATGGCCATGGTAAGGGGTTATTTGTAGCCTAACAAAGTTAGGGTTTGCCAAGTTTAAATTATTTAGGGGTAAGTTAGTTAGTTACACATCTGAGGCTGAAATTCCCAAGTTGTGCCATTGAAACTCAGGGTTTCAGTTTTACTGTAGGTTCAGCCACCTGTTTGACTTGATCAAATACTTGCCCGATTTCTTCTATAAGTTAGCACGGAATTGAATTGGGAACATCATGGCTCAAATCTAACTCAAGGAGTTCTTATATTCACAGAGTTAGGGATCAATCATCACTTAAAGGTTACTCTGCAGCAGGCTTCATTTTTCTCCTAATTTCATCTTCAATTTGCTTCCAAGTCTTGGAGCAATTAGTTCTAATGATTAGATGGGTTTGTAGAGTACTGAAGGAGGATTATGAACACCATATTTCAGCTCAAAATACAGTAGGGTTTAGGAAAAAAGATCACTACATTAGTGCAGGTGTCACCTGACTCTGATGCAAACAGGATGAATTGCGAGTGTGAATAGTAACACAGTCAGCCGGAAATGGTGATTTTAATCTTTGCCTTTTCAAAAATGGTCAAATGGAGTCTAAATGGTTTGAAACTTGGCATATGGGATTCAAATGCCTTAGATCAAAATCCCACCAACTTTTGTCTCAATCTGAGATCATTTCCACTGGTCACTTTGTGAATCTGATCCCTTTTGACTCGGCTTGCATAAAGGGGCACCATCCTCATTGATAATGGTGATATCCAATTTTAAAACCCTGAAAATGGGGTCAAATGGTATCCAAATGAACTGTAATATGGAGGGTTGGTTTGGAACACTTAAGATTAAACTTCACACATTTACATTGTGTTTTAAACGATTTGACCAGGAGTTTGAATGGCTCTTATTTTGGCCATTGGCTTGACAATTTATGGGCATCCAAAGGCCCAAATCCTTTGATTTTTTGGTGGAGTCCCTTTCTGCATATCATGAGAACTCTACAAATTTCATCCCATTCCGAGACCATTTAAGGGGTCCACAGCAGGAATTTGCATATAAATGGCAGCCTGGCTCATATGAAAATTGAATGTCAATTTAGTTGGTGACCATGCTTTGTGGATGGTTTGCAATCCCTCCCTTTTGGGGCCCATTGGGTCATAGAAGAACTGTGATGTCCATCTGTGGGTTTTGTACCCTTGTCAGGATGAGGTAGCCATATGTGTCCAGTTCGAGACCATATGTCATATGTGAACTAGTCCAATGCAGGCTTGGGATGTTTTTGAATCAGACAGATCCAAAATGCACCCAACCAACATCTCAAATTGAGAATTCATAAGTTCCATCATTTTTTAAACATATTTTCCTACACATGGAGGCTTTCCTATAACAATAATGTAGAGTAAGCGGAGACTAATTGCACAACCATACAAATATTATAATAAATCAGTCCATGAAACTTTCGTGGTGACGTGAGATAATTGAGATGCAACATCCCATGAATCTTGAAATGTTGCAGTGCAGCACTGATGCCATTTTTTACATGATCAAATATCTCCTAATAATTTGAAGAAACCAGACCACAGGTTAAAATAAATGTTTATATCAAATAGTGCTTCAAAGGGCAGACCAGACAGGATAGGTTTTATCAGGAAAGCTATCATCAACCAAATTAGTACATGGTTGAATGAAAAAGAAGAAACAAGAAACTAAATTGAACAAGATTAAACAAGTCAAATGAATAGGCAAACTAGTCAATCCATCTCAAACAAGAAAGAACTTATGGTTGTATTAAATTTAATGGGCATTCAAATCAAAAGGCACTAAATTGGCCATCTTTTCTGTGTGGAAGAACAACCTTCAAATGTTCCTCAAAGAAACTTTGCTCCATCTTACATCTAAAGGATTTTGTTTGGTGTGGCCTGGATACTCCTGGATACTTTGTAAACTTTCAAGGTTCTCTATTGTTTAGTGTGGATAATTTTCAAAACTCAAAAGTAATTCATGTCAAATCATAAATTGTCATTATCAAGTTTAATTTTGATGGTTGCTCTCTTGGCAGTTGGGTCCCTCCAGCATTGGAGGCTTTTTTAGGGATTCCAAAGGCCTAATTTTCCTCTCTTACGCGTTGCCTATTGGAGTTACAGACTCCGCCACTGCAAAGACCAAGGCCTTGCTCAAAGGACTTAGAAGTTTCGATCGCAATTGGAGCACACAGTTGCTGGTCGAGGCGACTCTAGAAATACGATCTCTTCGGCCTCGGGTACCGTCCCTAGTCTGTGGAGACTAGACCACATTTTTGTTGAAATTGCTCACCTCTCCAGCAGCATCCAAGTCTCTTGGAGACAACCACATAGGGAAGCTAAAGCTGCGGCTGACGCTCTGGCAAGGGAGGAAGCTAGCCTCAACTCTCCCCAGAGGACTATAGGCTACTCTGGAGTACGCATCTCATTCACTTTTTCGATTCTGTTGTAGAGCATTTTTGGACCCTCAAGGGTTTTGTATAGGGCACCCAGTTATGGGGATTGCACCTAATTTTGTATTTACCCATATCATGTCCTCTTTAAATTATAAAATAAATAAATTCATATCAAATCAACTTTTACCTCTGCAAGGCTTGGCACGGATGTAGGATCAAAATCTTCACAATGTTCAGGATCAATCGGAACACAAACACGGCCTACATCAACAAGAAACAATTTCCATTAGCAAACCATCACAATACGATAAGCCTCAAACTACGGTGGGGGCATGGGAACCAAATAGGCCAAATATGAAACTGAAGCAGCCCTTGAAAAGCAACTACTAACCAGTTTTTGGGTGCACACAGAAAGGAGCTTTGAGCAAATGATTCATGTGCTTTGTAACCTGAATAACGAGAGGGTGATTTTGGAAGTTGAAACAGAAACATCACAGATATAAAATGGAATTGCTAAATAGCATAAGAGAGTCAATCAAACCTCCATATCAAGTCTAGGATAAGTGTATGTGAAAACAATCTCTTCTACGCATCTACGAAGTACCGGTGCCTGACATACAGGTTGATTGTAAGAGGAAGAATGAAAATGGCAGTGTGGGATTTCAAGTGCGTAAAGGTCTTCCTATTTCTTTTAAATAGGTGCTTCATGTGCTAGAAAGATGATCTAAACCTTTTGCTTCCCAGACTGCAAAATGTGTTTCAATTGACCCCATCGGACAATGTTAATATCCTCTTTGGACATAGAAGGGCGCCAACTTGCTTTCCACCTCTCTTGAAGTTGACCAGAGATTGCTGTAGATATTTGAAAATGACAACTCATATAACATATAACTTAGTACAAACAAGTCCTTGTAGTAATTGAAAAACTGCCTTAAGCTTTTGGCAACCAAATGTGCAGGGGAATCTCACATTCATCAGGTATCATATCAAGTATCATTTGAAATCTCTCTTCAGTTGACAATAACTCTTGGCCACAAAGCAGCTTCTCTTCAAAAAAGAGCTTCAGGACATCTGCATATGATCTCCTGCATTTCGGAAACCTATCACTTAATGTGGTTCATATAAAATCAATGCATTTTTGTACAACTTGGAAGTCATATGGTTCAGAACATACGAGATAAAAGGATGCATGGCTGGACCAGCTAAAGATACCTTTCTATGGCTGTTTTCATTGCCCTAGAACAGAGAGAAAAAGAATTTATCATAATCTTTGCACAATACAAAAATAATGCATTTTGCTTGTCAAAAGGCTACCTTGTATACTCGAAAATAGTCAGCAATGGCAGCTCTTTGTTCATTATTTAGCCTGATCAGACACAGCAGGCAATCTGCTTATTCCCTTAATCCAGGCAAAAAGCTAACGCTGGAAGATATCATACTCTGATATTTGATCCCATTTACCTTCTTGCCCTTCCATCACAAACCCAACAATGAACACCACGTCGACCACTATATACCCAAAGAATGTGATTAAAACCAAAATCCTCTGCATCAAAAGAAATCCCGGATATTACAACAGAGCTACTTTTACACTTCATATGTCATCTTAAGGCAATTACAATGCATGAATATGCTTAACCAAAACTAAAACAAGGAGATGAAAGTGCAAAGATAATTAAAAGATAAGCTGTCACCATTTGAGATCATTTTTATAAATATGACGATCCTTTTTTACATTGAAAAATCCACCATAGCTAATACATTATTCGTTGAAACTTAATTGGGGCACTTGGTTATACATAATGATATTTAACTATGAGTTGTAATTAATACTAGAATTTAATTTTAATTAACATTAAACTTTAACGGAAATATGTGGAAGATGCATAAGCCATATCATACACAAGGGAACAAGGAACTACTCTAAAGAAACAATTCATTACGATATCAAACAACAGCCACATTGCACAAACAAACTTCGTTAAAAACCAATGGCAATTCTGTTTTATTAAACAAGATAGAATTATGAATTGTAATATTGCTAATCCTTAGGGCACTAACTGGAAGAAGTATGAGAGCTTATAGACTTGTAGTCCTGTTAGTAAACAAACTAATAAAAAGGAACTATGCCAAAGAATCATGTAACTAACAGAAGAAAACAACCACCACATTAGTTCTAGAACAGTCTGCAGGTACAAGCACAAAATAGCGCAAATGAAACACTAAAGAACCATAGTTGTATGAAGCTAGAAATATATATTCAGATATCCAGTTCCAGATTGCAAACAAAAAGAATCATATGAATACCAACTAAGATCAATGTTGATATTCAAGTTCAAGCTCCATATAGCATAAGAATCCAAGCAATCACCTTGATTCTACAAAAATGCCAAAAAATGGGAGCAACTAATGGCTTCATGATGTAAGAAAAGACCTAGATATTGTCAAACAACTAAATGCAGATTGAAGGATGCCATTTCGGACCTCTCAGAGTAAAGTCTATCACTTTAATAGCTATGGTCATCAGTGGCCAACAGCTCAAGCAGACATCTGCTCCGGAACAGCAGTATCGAACATCATCATAATCTGACATATCCTATCAACAGATTCCAAAAACATTATAGAAAATTTTATCATATACAAATAAAAGATAAAAACAAAAACAAAATGTATCCAATGGACCAGATAACCCACAATGTCAAAAACAAGCTCCCTTTCCACTGGCTTGAAAACATTATCACCCGCTTGTGCATATGCGTGCCTTTTAGCAGGCTGAAAAGTGAATACTAAACTTAACAAAACTTCAAAAACATCATAGGCAGAAAATAACATGGCGTTTGAATATTGCTAAACATTAAACAAGGTTACAAATTTCATACATCGACACTGTACACAGGTCCAATATCTATCTTAAATGGGCACTTCTCTTTTATCGAATTTTCCAGTTCTGCAGCACTGTTGAATGACTGGAAGCGCAAATATACATCATTATCTAGAGTGAAAGAAAATTCCCTCCTTCCAAAGTATGACGTGTCACGTGCTGGGTGCTTTCCATCTGTACAAAGGTGGAAAACCCTCAAGATAAAGTCAGAATAAAGAAAAGAAAGCCTAAGCAACATTTATGAAAATCTAAGAGTACAAAAAAAAATGTATACATACCATTTCCATATGACATCCACTTAAAGATCTCGACATGAGGAAAGAGCTTAGCTGTCACAGAAGACGACTTACATCATTACAACTCAAATAACCAAAATTATGAAAGCTAAAGATAACATCAGAATGACATTAAGTGACAAATAGAATGTAGCTACCATGTGGAAACCCATTCTCAGAAACCATATGACAAGTTATTCAGAAATTAAGGACAGACAAGTACAGGAAAACAATACCAAAAGGCAAGCATTTAATAACCAACAGATAAACCAATTAACATGGCCTATGCAATTTGACATCAACTATAAGATGTCCCGGTTCATTCCAGGACAATAAAAAATACACGTTGGCCTGCTTCATTGATCAACTACATAACCGTGGCATTGCCTTGCAGTATGCTCTAAGGAAACCGACTCATGTGTTGGTGTCTAACACCGATATGCTGTATGCTGTTTCACACGGCTCCCAAAGAGTACCAGTTAAGACATGACACATCCTTGTAGTAATAAAAAAGCAAATTAGGCCCTCACAACTAAGGTAGAAATTAAATCGATAAAAATACCCACCCAAGCAAAGGAACTATGGATAACATATTAATGGGTTCAGTGATGAAATTCAAGATACATGTCTCAAAAATTACACGAAGTATCAATGATCCATAATGTTAATTTCGAGAACTACAATAGCAACAACTTCCCCCAAAAAAAAACAAAAACAGAACTACAATAACAACATATCAAAAGATGTGCACTATGAGAAAATCAAGTCTTTTTTTTTTGAGAAACGTTAACTTAATGTGAGAAAATCATGTCTTTGTGAAATATAAGTAAAGGTGTAAGATGCACAAGATACTATACCATAGTAGAGTTTCAAATAATCAGCATTAAATCCTTCAGGAATGCTGCCCTTTTTCCTCTGTTCATGCGTATAAACATCGACTTGCATTTCGTCAACTCCATTGTTGCCCTTGTCAGTCATATTTACAAATATTGGGTACTACAAAAAAGAATTAATCAATTAAGTATACAATGAAAGCTCTTTGTTCGAATATAGAAAAACAATCCCGCATTGTGATTATGAGATGAACAAACTAACATGACATATCTGACATATTACGGAAGTAATTTTTTTTCTAAGTACAAATTCATAACATCACAATCTACAACTAGAAATGGAATCTAGAGACTTAAAAAACATCTGTACATTAACATTTCCCATGTAATAACACCTACTTACTGCACATCTTCAACTTCAGTTCATTTGCCTTGAACTAGCAAGCATCAATTTATATAATTTGTGGAATAACCAAGCGATGGTTGGTCCATCCAACAGCTCATACTTGTAATTAAACCAGTTTTACTAGGAAGCCTATTTGGTTCAATTGAACACTACAAACACCATTGCTCTAAAACTTGAGTTTCCACAGATGCTCCTTACCATTTCAATTGACAATCATGTCAATTAACAATATGACTGAACTTCTCAAACTCTTATTCACAAGTGGGTATAGTAGATATAACTGGGTTCTGTAAGTCTAGAGCCATAATGACAGAGAGAATAGCCTAGTTGGTACCTTTTTGCATATGATGGTTTGGGAGATGAAATTTGGGGCACATAGTACCAACCTATGTTTACCATATTCCTTGATAAGGTTGACAAGATCCCAAGCCCAAGAGAGCTGGTTGGACTCGGCTAAGTCTCAATAAGACTAGGCCAAGTTTGACAAGAAATAACAAAGAGATGCCAAAAGAAGGTAAGACTTGGCGAAACCCAAGTTTCTAGCTCGGGACTTGCCAAGATCCCTATCTAACTGATTTGGACGACTTTCAACTTTCAAAACACTGCAGACACCATGAGAGACTCCAAAGATACCATCAAGGTCGGTTTCGACTGAGTCTTTTACTCTACTGGTATCAGTTCAGAGTGAACCCATTGTAGCTCAATGGCTACTCCAACTCATAATTCATCAATTAAATACAAAGAACCATAAAGGAGAATAGATGGCCTTAACTAGCACCTTTCGTCACACATTATGTAGTTGAAGAAAGTCAAAACATACACAATTAATCCTTGACAGCCACAATTCATGAAATAAAACAGGATATGATGCGATACTACATAAAAGATATTATAGTCAGTCTTTCGTTACTAGTGGATCATTTGAGGTCTTTGATGAGTCTTTCACTCGACCAACATCAGCTGAGAATAAACTTGTCATAGCTAGAAAATTCCACCACATACGTAATGCCTCAGGACCCATTCACTCTCCCATGGTAAACAACATCCAAGTATGATGTTTGCCATGTAAAAAAAAGACTAGGATATTACAAGCTTCGTCATGAGGCAAGGAACACTTCAAAAATGAATAGAGTCTTAATTGTATGGTATTGAAGTTTTCAATAGATCAAGTACACAGGAAATAGTCCTCAAATTTGAACTAAAATTTCAGAGACCATATTCTTGTGGGTTTTATGGCATTGTTCATTGTCTCCAATGCCACCCCTTATTGAATAATTTCTATAGAAGGAACCTTTCTCTAGGAAGCTGCCACTATAGAAGCTACATGTAGATTAGATGGAGTATAACAACGACAGGGTGTCAGCATTTTTTTGAGAAAAACTTTTCATTATTTGCTATTACTAGAATTTAAAGTGCAATTCACATTGTTTCAGTTTCTATTGATTAATTGTTCACGATAAGGATTGCATTCCATACAGGTAACTTCTCAAACAGTTAAGAGAGATTCGCTATGGTGACTCGAAATACTAAGAAACACTAAAACATTTGAGGGTTTGCAATCAATATAAGCGAGCGCAAGAGAGAGAAACTTGAGGAAATGCAACCTAATGGAGGTAGAGAAAATATTTGCAGATGACAAAGACAAATGAAAGCTTAAAATGATCATCAATAACCATTATGCAAAGAAAAAGCATTGCAGATAGCAGGAATAGATAATGTTACAAAATAGTTTCCAGAAAATGGAAGGACAATGTAGCGCCTTAAGGCATTTGTCAAATGAAGAATTACTGATGAATTATCGAAAATCAAGCAAAAAATATTGCATCCTTGAAAAATAGGACCAGCCAATTTAGGGCAAAAAATGCTTGAAAAACCCTAAATTAACACACACACGCAAAGAGAGAGAGAGAGAGAGCATACCCCTCTTCCTCCTGGTTGCTATCGAGAAATACTTGGCGTTTGATAACTTTCAATGCAGTCTCCCTGGGAATTACCCCTGCTGTTGACTTTCCTAGATTCGGGGATGCAAGTGAAAATTGGTAGGGTGAAAGCTGGAAACCCTGTTTGATAAACTGTGGTGTTGGTAATTTCACCTGTTTGGTAATGGGAAAGCTGGAAACTGCATGCAATATTGTTCATTATGTATTTCATTGATATGATGTGCGAAATGAAGGTTTTTAAAAACATTTTGCAATCCATTCGTCCAATATAATATCAAATATGTAAATAGATTCAAGGAATACCAATATTTAATATTGAACAAAATTGATTTTCTTAATATCAAAGTCTCACCCAATGCATAGGCAGCCTTCAAGAGCAAACTTATGTCAGTTATTTAAGAAATAGCTATTTAAAAGTTTCAAAGCCAACCATTCCATTTTGCCACCACACCAATACATTATAGAAGATAAGTTTGTCTCCTTTGAAATGGTAACACGGAAGCAATCACTTGAACAGAGAGAGAATGAGAGAGAGAAAGGGGGAGAGAGAGATATATAGTTGACAATCTTATGGCACAAGCATGTATGATGTTGTCGATATTGTCTCCACATTTCTGCCATAATTTGCTCCCTAATTGTACCTTAACATTATGGGCAGACCTACTCTGGGAGTTTAGATCCTCAACATCATCTTCTTCAGATTCGTCTTCCTCTTCTTCATCTTCCTCTTCTTCAATTCTTGAGCACAACTCAAGATCTCTCCTCACTTCTCTTAGAACTTGAAGTTGAAATGCTCTCCCTTGAATAGAGCTCTAAGTTAACCTCATTCGAATATAATTGTGTAAAATACAAGTGGCATTTACAATCATACAAATGAAGCAGCTTATAGACTATAGCATTGTGTTATGGACATAATGGATGACTAAGATCTCATGCGCAAGGCAAAAAGTCTCTACTTATTCCTAAAGATAGGTACTAAGAAATTTAATGAATGAAGATAGGTACTACCAATAATTGGTTCTTCAATTTTTTGCAAAGGACCAATCATGGTTCCGTTCCAGTTTCCTCACAGGCATCATTGGTTTGGGCCTGGTTTTCTTTGTGAGAGAAAACCCTCTCTCAAACAACCGCGAAGGGTCCACACGTGTTGGCGTTTTATGCGTGTGCGTGTACTCTTCTTGAGGCGGATAGGAACCAGCAACGAGAGAGATTTTTCTACAAGGGTGCGTTTAAGTGCCTACCTCGTCATTTGGGTCGGGGATATGTCGGACAATCGCCCTCTTAGAACAGTTACAAAGCCCTCATGTTGTCTGCCAGCGCGGTTTGGACATGAACTCTCTTCAAACTTCAACACATCATCTCGTTTTTTTGTCCTGAAACTTGCAATGTGAATTCAAAGGCACTCCTCTATGATGGTTCACTCGAGTAGGGATTGGCTGGCAAAGAAAGAATAAAGGAGAAATGATAACAGAAATCCTTTTATCCGCACAAACGCTACAAAACTTGACAATCAGAGCGACTAAAGAATCAAAACTCTCTCAACTACCAACTCAGGATGACTCCACTTGAGTGAGTGAAGGGGAGAGCATATATATCTTTCGCAACTCAACTCATTGTACGTAAATGAAGTTAGAGTGGCGATTTGAGTGTTAAAACTCTTAAGACAACTTTGAGAGGTATCGAGTCAAGCATATGATTGCTAGCGGGATACCATCGGTATACAAGAAAGAAAGAGGAAAAATGAAGGGAAGAATCGTATCCATGTAAAGATGTAGACACAAGTGTGTACACAAAAAAAATGGGACGGATGATGAGGGTAGTAAGGAAGGATGGAGTTACAAGAAGTTGGGGCTACGTGTTGGTAGGACTCGAGCTGAAACGAAGCGTAGCAAAAGAGAGAAAGAACGGGGCCGCAAATTTGTTGTGGTCACGCTCAAAGCAAAGGAGAGAAGAGAAAGATGAGAGAATAACGGCTACGCGGGTTTGTTGCGGTCACGCACAAAGCAAAGGAGGGAAAAGAAAGAGGAGAGAATAACGGGGCCGCAGGTTTGCTGCGGCTCCGCGTTGCTGTGAGGAAGAGAAGAGGGCAGAGAGAGACGGGGCTGTAGGTACCGCGGCTCCGGGACTTAATGCACGCACGAGAACGAGAGAGAGACAGGGCCGCAAGTGTTGCGGCTCCGGTGCTTAATACACACACGAGAATGAGAGAGAGTGGTGTTGCAGCTTCGAGGCTTAATCAATCGTCGTAGAATTGATGCTTGATCCATCACAAATATTTTGATTGTCATGAAACGGATTTTTTCTGGAGAGTAAAAATCCGGCCAAGTCCATAAACTTCGACCACCAATGCAGCGCGATCCATGATGTTCCAAGTCCTCATTTTGATCACAAGTAAAAGAGGACATTGTCATGATCATTCTATACTAAATTTTGTCTAATTTGATCTCCATTTGAAAACATTCCAAATTTGAGAAGTAGCCAGAAAATGGGATTATGACAACCTGAAAATATTGTCATTTTCAACCTTGAAATTCGTGCGATCCGCTCAATTAAGCGCAAAAATTATACCAAATTGTACCCCTTCGCGATGTGGTTGCAACAGACCCGTATTTGCAACGATCCGACACTCGGATCTCAAGTTATGACTTCACGAAGTACAATATGTCTTCTTTCAAAATTCTGACTTTCATGCTTTTGGGCTCATCTTCTCTCTAGAAATTCTCTCGTCTCAAGCCACGTCATGACGCGTGCCATAAGTCAAAACGACTGGGTCGTCGAGACCTAGCTCTTGTCGGAATTTGAACGTTTTTTGACTCAACACGAACAAGTTACGAATATTTGAATATCATCCTGAGACATGAAAATACAATTTCCATGAATGAAAACTAATTCACCGAGGACGCACCACAATAGTGTAATACCCACCCTTTTATGGTAATTTGGGCCCAGAATGGTCATGGAAGATCCGATTGAGCCCAAATTTGATCCCTAGGGGTTTTTCGACATTCCAAATCTAATAGCGATAGTTTGGTACTGTTTTGAAACCCCGAAAATAGGGCTGTAGTTATAAGATCTCTTTCCAGCATGATAGAAACTGGATTTGAGAATCGAGTTTTGTCCTTATCATATCGAAACTTATCGAAATGTGACAAAACTTTGTGAGCATCTTTCAAGAATCTCAAAATACCTTTTTCATGCATTTTGAAGCCGTTCTAGTACTTTTCCAAGGTTGCCTAGTTTTAGGCTTATTTTGTAGTGTTCCCATGGTCTGGCGGTATCTTGGGTACTGACAAGACCAGGTTGTTACTGGCTCTCGCCTTATGCGACTCGGGAATACAAGTACGTCAAAAAAGACGTATACAATCATCTGTAGGGAAAACGAGGTCGCTACACAAGGGTATGAAAATTAGAAATTTATGATCTTTCTTATGTTAACTACACTTTTCAATGCCCTTGGAGCAAGAACCCAACAAGCCCCTTTGCAAACTCAAAATCACATGTTGACAACATAAATGTTACATGGACACAAAATAACAAACAAGTAAAAGCCACTTAGATCTTCTTGCAATTTCTTCAAAGATATCCCTATAAATTCTTCAAAAGTATTCCTACAAATTCTTCAAACATATATAATAGGAAGCTGAAACAGAGTAAGATCCAATTGTGCAATATTCTTCAAGAAGAAAAAGGGAAGCCGTTTCTTTAAACAGCCAAAATGTTGCCAAAGATTACCTCCTTGGACTTTAACACAACCCTTGAAAATGTCTCACTTCAATGGCCCTAGTAAGAGCTAGGATATCAAATTAATTTGGAACCCAATAACAGGCATTGTGTCACCACACATGAGCATACCAATATCTCAAATATTTGGTCCCTCAATATCCACAAAATAGGGTCAATGCTCAACTTCCAAAAACAAATCACTTAATCATGCAATCACCTAAATCGTATGCTTATGTGAAGTTCTGTTTTAACTAAGAAACAATTAGTGTTTCAATGACTTCACATCTGATCTAGGTGTACATCTCCAATTTCAAATTGTCTCAAAGCACAACAGACATGAAAGCTTTTCAACACATTTCCAAAAGTTCAAACTTGCACATCCCACTCCAAGCAATCAAATATTTCTTAGGTATGTGACACAAAGCATTTGTGTATAATGAGGATATAAAAATCATGTGAAAGATTTGTGCCTTTAAGAAAATGCAGCTAACCTGAATGGCCAAAATGGACACCAGCCAAAATACATGCACTTATTGCAAATCAGTTTGTGGAGAATAAAAACTCTTATCATAAGGCATGCTAAGGGTGAATAGCTAGGAGGGGTTCGAACAAAGTTGCAAAGCTATCAGTTAGCAATGAACTAAGGTTCCAACCTCAGAGATAAAAAACGCTGATCTGTCTTATCTAAACAAGTTTCAAGAGAGAGATTCTCAGCTGCAAAATAATTAAGAACTAAATCTTCTATAAAAAGAATATATAACAGCAATCAGGAGTAAAACCAAGGCACTTCAAGAATCTGATTTTCAACAGAAAATGTGCGAGCAAAAACACAGTTACAACAAAAGCTAATGCTGCTGCAAGTAAGGGACAGAAACATATAGTTTGTGGGATTGATTTGCAGCAGGAAACCAAACAAAGAAAACTACCTTAAATCTGATGTGACTCTGTGTTACATATTGCCAATATACTGCTATAACTCAGATTCAAAAATCAGTTCCCAGTCCAAATGAAAGGAGCTGAAAAACAGCAGAAGATTGAGTTGATAACACAGAGGCTGCAAGAAAAGATTCTGTGTGGGAGTCTCACGCTGTGATGTGAAATCTACAAGTTATCATCCAAGTGATGGGGTTTCCATTAAAATGGAAATTCAAGATGCACCACAGTCGTGACATCAAGAACAGTTGAGACTTGAGAATGCTTGTCACACACAAACAAGATCTAGAGAGTGGGAGAGCTCTCAAATGCTGGTTCTTATTGGATCATAAAACGCTGGTTTTTCAAGATGAGATGCTTTGATTTTGTGGTGCTGAGAAGCTCAAGCTTTAAAGCATCCAAACAATGAAGCAATAGGGTGTCGAAAGGAACACATTGCTGTCAATATGCAGCAGGTTGAAGATCACAGCAACGTCTAAAAACGGATTGCAATAACGGCAGCGACAAAAGAAAAAAGAACAACCGATGGTTCTAATTAACCAAGCAATGAGAGTTAATGAACTTTAATCAAAGCAAAACTACTCTTAAAAAAATGGCTGAAAGAGTTGATCATGGTGGTGTGAAAAGGTCCAGGCAACTGTTATCTATAGGATAACAGTTGTCGAAAATGTGACTGCGAGATGAACAAGGTGGCAGCTGATTTTTCTGAAGAGTGAGTTCTCAAACTCAAAGAACCATGTGAAATGCAAGACCTATATGTGAAAAACTCAGTGAGGTTATTCCCATAAATTGAACACCAGAAAATCAGTTTCAGAGAGAGAAAAACTTCAAGCCATTTCCAAAACAGTTCCAAGATAATCACCACAAATATCTTGGGTTTGAAAGATGAACTTTCCTATGATGCCATGAACTATAGTTCATGCATCTACCTCATAAACCAATATCCTTTTTGGAGAATGAAAAACGTGGATTATAAAATAGCTTTAGGTTTTATGGATGTAAAATACCAGTTCAATTTCTCTTGTTTGGAAGATGGATACAATTGTGCACACACACACCAAATGCTTTCAAGGTCACCCTTTTTATAGAATCTAATCAAGGGTGCAGAGAGAATGATTGAATCCTAGCCTTTAAAATAGACAAATCAAGGGTTGAGAGAGGCCAACACATCATAGCCTATTCCATCACCATGCTTTGCCATCATTGGGTGGTGAGGATTTCATCAACCACCCTTAATCACCAGATGCCCATAAAACATTATCCATCAAGCTTCTTATTTCATCACCATTCATTTTAAAATTAATAGCATCTTAAAGTATCATGGCTTCACATGTGGAGCGTGACCCCATGCACAAGGCAACCCACTCACATCCCATAACTTGACTTGTTCTATAAGTTAATTTTAAATTTTCAATGATGTAGTATGACACAATGAGTCATAGGTTGCCCACTTAACAAAACATGTCCTAATCAAGGATGTACTTTGCCAATCCAAGTTTGACAACCCTCCATGGACCATGGGTTAAAACCCAATGATTTTGTCCAAGGCTAAAACTTTGTGTTTCAAGTGTGCATAATGAATTTATGGTCCACGAAAGACCTCACTGTGTTAGTGGTCCAAAAAATATTATCCATGCCATATAAATACAAAGAAATTGTGCCAAGGATGGCTTTAGGAGGGGTTGACACACATTGGCCATTTGTATGCTACCTCCCCAATTTATAAATGGTCTGGATAAAAATATTTTGCCAAAAATAAATATATGAATTAGTATTGATATAAATAATCCAGAAAACTAGATTGAATTAAAAAGGTCTTAATTCTGAATATGATGTTCATTGGGCAAAAGGTACTCCACCGTGCTATTCTTGTTGATCACAAATCGTTTCCTTAAATCAGCCCAACATACCCCATGCGACACAATCCGAGGCTGGTACACATCATTGGTTCTGTCAAAGCTGATCAATTGACAATGTGACTTTCAGGACTTCGATAGATTACAGGTTTGTCCCTCGAAGATATGCATTACCGAGAATGCGGGGGACTCCTCTCTCTACACATGCATACATTTCTGATTTGGTGGATCCAACCCAATCAGTCTGTTATGGTGTGCATGTTGTGAGTAACTATAATAGTCATTTGGCATTTGTCCTCTTAATGCCTTAATACACTCACACAGGGCAAAAACATAAACCACAACACGATTCATTCACATCATCAAGATCCATATTTCAATGCAACAAAGCAAGAACAAAATTTTGATATCTCATAATATATGATGGATTTTCCAAACAAAATGCAGTGAGTACTTGTAGTATAACCAACAACTCGTGTCAAAGCTAATACCAAAATTACAAGCATAGTTCACATAATGGTGTTGATGTAAGCAAAATCCACATTAATCAGGTCGATTGAGCAACATAATATGGAAGTTATTAAAACGATCTCCTTGTATATAAGTAGAGTGTAAAACTGTGTGAATGGAAATTAGACTTAGTATAATTTTCCAGTGATTTCAGCACATGAAGAAAACCAATTACAAATATTCAAATGAAACAGCATCAAAATGAGGCAAACAATGCTCCCCTCCCATGAGGATCAATGTACAATCCGTCCTATGTGGAAATATACTTCCTTTTATGTGGAAATCTTTTTTAAGGTAGAAAAGAAGTAATGCCTCAAAAATTAAAGAAAAAAAGAACACAACTGCAACTCCCCAGCACAATATTCATAAAACCAGTTGCACCAAACATAAATCAGTCAATCTACACATATAAAAGAGCCCGACTAGTACTAGTCCTACAAATTTAGGCCATGATTTCTAACATGTACTCCATACAGGACTTTGTACTGAGTTGCTGGTCCAGAAAACAGAAATAAACCCTAGAATTCATTAAGAAAAACAAAAAAGCAGGCAAGACATAAAACTAGTGGACTCAAAGTAAATTACCATTAAGGAACTGATTTATTCACAACTATACAGCAGCTCAATAAAGCTGTAATTTGTCATCCCACAATCAGAACTCAAAGTAAAGCACAGTAAGACCCATTCCTCAAGCCTTCTCAAACTAGATGAATATCAGAGAGATATGTGTCTGACTAATGGCAGACCTGTAAACAAAATAATCTGTAATAGTGTATAGAATTTCACTCACACATATACAACAAACCATTAATCTAGATTTACAAGCACAGAAAAATCACGAAATAATCAAGGAACTGAATCAACATAATCAGGGAACTTGATATCAAGCACTCAAAACAATCAGTTAACCATAAATCTAGATTTACAACACAGAAAAATCACGAAATAAAGCTATTGCAGTGCCTTAGACCTCAACTTACAACGAAAAAAATCACTGATATGGGGTTTAGCAGTGAGTAAATTCACTGATTTGGGGATTATCGAACAAACTAGCAGAAAAAAAAAAATTAACTCACTGGTTTGGGGTTTATCAGTGAGTTAACTCACTGAATTGGGGTTTATAAGCCAAAATAGCAGCAAAAAAACAAAAAAATCACTGATAGGTCTATCAGTGCGTTAACTCACTGATTTGGGATCTATCAGCAAAAATCGCAGAAAAGAATATTCTTGCAGTCATTTGGGGTTTATCATCATAATATACAATCAAAAAAACAAAAACTCACTGATTTGGGGCTTCTGCTATGTGATAATGGAAATGGAGCAAGCGGTTGCCGTGAGCGAGTCCCTTTCTCTTCTCAACCTAGGGTTTGTAAAGGGCAGCAGTTGTGAGCGTGAGTATTCACCTCTGCCAGTGATTTTCTTCCGCGGGCCTTGTGAGGAGGAAGGGCGAGGGAGAAAAGGAGAAATAAGGGAGGGAAGAAACGGCGGAAAAAAAGGAGGAAAAGGGGCAAGTTCCACTGAATTTCGTTTTCTACCCCCGAGGGAGTAGATGCATAGTATACTTCGCCAAGAATAGGAAATCGTTTGGGGATGTTCACGTTTCAAAGGCAAGCCAGTTGTGCTACAAAACCCCTGAGGATTTTTAGAAAAATAGGACGTTGGGATTAATCCTAATTGATTTGGAAGGAGAGTATTTTGGAAAAGAGAGAATTTCAATCTTGAATAGGCTCTTTGCACTCATACGGATTTTTCCGATCGTCTATCCCAAGGGATTTCCTACTCCTGCAGGAGTATACTATCCATCTAGTTCTTCGGGCAGACATCTTTTAGATCTCAGGGATGTGATCTCTAGAACTGGCAATAACCTCTAAGGAAAATAAATTTAACTTTCACTCTCTGTGTGCCGCCGAAAAAATAGTATCCCAATATTGCACAAGAACCATCAATGTTTTTAGGGAATAATCTTAGATGATTATGAACTAAAGATTTAGAGTTTTTTTTTTTAAAAATAATCATCTAGTTATAATTAGGATAAATTATATAATGAAATCATTTATTTTTGGTACAAGGCAGTCACAATTAATTTTGATTATTGGATGTGAAATTCGGTGGCTATATTTATTTCATTGACCAATAACAAAGTTCAAAAAATAATTTCGTGAACTATATGACACACTCAAACTATCAGATTTCACATTAAATGGATATAAAAATCGCAAATAAAAAAAATATCCCAAGCTAGTTTTTTTCCAAGAGAGTAAATGTATAATATACTCCCGAGAGAGCATAATATACGTGCTCATCATATATAATCATCTTCCGCATGAAAATGAAATAATGTTTGGTATAGAGGTACTCAAATCTTTTTTATCCTTGAATTTCAAGTACACCAAGTACTCGCCACAGGTATTGGAATACCCATTTCGAACCATGAAAAAGAATTACGGGGATAAAATCTATTTCCTTTTACATGTATTTCTTGAGAAAAGTATTTCATATAAATAAAATTTATGTTGTTTGGATGGCACATGGGTGTATAATATTTTTTTTAATGTTTTTTTGTTAAATGATGTTGGTTTTATTATTAATATAATGACATTTTTTCATTAAATTTTAGATAGTTTTGGTCTCTAAAAATTTGAGATGATTTCTTTCACTAAAAATTGTCAAGTAGTTTCTCCCACTAAAATTTGATAAACTTGCTCTCTCTAAAATTTTAACATATGTTTTCTCTCTAAAACTTAAAATTTTAGATAGTTTCACTCTCTAAAAATTTAAAGTACTTTATCTCTATAAAATCCTAAAATTTTGTCTCTAAAACTTAAAATATAAGATAGTTTCTCTCTCTAGAAAGTTTGAGATAGTTTTTCTCTCTAAATATTTTTAGGCGGTTTCTTTCTCTAAAATTTGACATAATTTATTTCTCTCCCTAGACTTTTAAGATACTTTATCTCTCTAAAATTTAAAATTTGAAGTAGTTTATCTTTAAAAATTTTGAGATAGTTTCTCCATCTAAAAATTTCGAGGTAGTTTTTTTATAAAAATTTTGGAATATTTTCTCTCTCTAAAAAAAGTTTAAGTACTTGTTCTCTCTAAAAATTAAAATTTAGATAGTTTCTCTCTCTAAAATTTGATATAGTTTTGCTTTCTAAAATTCTAAGATACTTTCTCTCTCTAAAACTTAAACTTTTAAATAGTTTTTTTCTAAAATATTTGTGCTAGATTCTCTCTCTAAAAATTTTATGGTACTTTCTCACCTTAAAACTTCAAATTTGAGATAGTTTCTCTCTAAAAACTTTGAGATAGTTTTTTTCTCTTAAAATTTTGAGATCGTTTATCTCTCTAAGACTTAAAATTTGAGATAGTTTATATATTTAAAAATTTTGAGATAATTTCTCTCTCTAAGAATTTTTAGGTACTTTATCTTTTAAAACTTAAAATTTGAGATAATTTCTCTCTATAAATTTTGAGATAGTTTCTTTCACTAAAACTTAAAATTTAAGATAGTTTCTCTTTCAAAATTTTGAGATAGTTTATCTCTCTAAAAATTTTCAAGTACTCTCTATAAATCTTAAAATTTGAGATAGTTTATCTCTTTAAAACATTTTTAGGTATTTCTCTCTCTAAAATTTGATATAGATTCTGTCGCTTAAATTTTAAGATATTTTATCTCTCTAAAACTTAATTTGAAATAGTTTTTGGACACAGGTCTCTATGAGTCAATGGACTCACATTTAGAAATGCAGGCCCCCTAATAGTTTATTTTTGAAATAGAAATTAATCACAATGTTTAGAGAATATATAATGTTTAAAATGTAGATTTTTAATCTGTAAAAAGTAAATAAATTTTAGAAACCAGAAATAATATTTTTTGGAGAAAATATTTGAACCATTGATTTTACTTTTTCTTTAGAGGACTATTATTTATGATATAGATCAACATTTTCTTTGGTAGATGGTGTTGATCTCCAAGCCGACATAATAACAAGTGCCGGCTTGGATACAAAAAACAATTCACCCTAGTTTTTCTTTGTAAAAAATTTTAGATAGTTTTTCTTTGTAAAAATTTTTAAGTAGTTTCTCTCTCTAAAATTAGATATAGTTTATCTCCTTTAAAATTTTAAGGCACTTTCTCTCTCTAACTTAAAATGTGAAATAATTTCTCTCGTGTAGGTGTTTTGGTGGAATTAATTGTATTTTATAAAGTGGTCATCTCTAAACTTGGAAATCTAGCTGAAAATCAATTTCGGAGCGTAAAGGCAATGATATTGATTTTATTATTTTTTCCTGATAATGAGAAAAATAATTTATAACAGAAATACTTGTCAATCCCAAAATTTCAATCCAAATGTCAGAAATATGCCGACTCCATAAAAAAAACATTTTTGAAAGTACATTTTCAATTCCAAACGGCCCCTAACATTCCACGTATACTCTATAAATAGATGTGCATAAAAACAAACATGTATTAACAACAGAATATAACAGAGGAATACAATTCTAGACATGCACACCGAAATTTACAGGATCATACAAAGGGATGCAAAAATCTTCCAAGCATAAAAGAAAATTACAGCGGAAAACAGAAGCAAGAAAGAAAGCAAGGCATGAAATAAAGAAGTAAAGCACACCACATAAACCTTAGGTTGAGAGGCTCTACAAGCACTTTGGCCATTACAAATTCCTTGAAGGGGTATTTATAGGCCCCAGACTTCAAAGATGGATTTCAAACAAAAATAAAAAAGTACAGCTGGCCTGGACACGCGTCCTCATGTACAACGAAAAGGTGATCTACAGTGGTCGATGGCCGACAAATAGTGTCAGGTGTCTCGACATAAACAATGAAAAGTTGATGAACAGTGCCAGGTGTCCCGACATGAATAGTAAAAGCTGATGAACAGTGCCTGACGATAAAATAGTGATGGTGCGGCCTCTTTTCTTATGCGACATCAAGGATAAGTGCGGTTTCAGTCTGGTACGGCTTCAAAGATAAGTGCGACCTCAGTCTGTGTCAGGATAGAGATCATAAGAGTATCCATCTGAGTCATAACTTGATGATGAGGGAGGGCTATGAGATAGTCCGGTATATGTATCATCACTAGAGCTGTCTTCTGGTTCTGCAGGTGGAGGATGATCTGCAAGCCATAGATGAAGCTGATGTAGCAAAGCTGCTGCTCTTGGTGTTTCATCGGTCCAAACAGTATTCCCTGTATAAACATCCACAGGAATCCATTCTGGCTGGATTTTGTTAATATAACACATTATGCTCTTTAATTCTTTCCATAAATCAGTCTGAAATAGCCAGAAACTTAGAATATTAGAATCATATCATCCAATGGTTTTAATAATGGGATGTTGGGTAATGTAAGTATGTTCTGAATAAACCTGGGGTTTAAGATTTTGGTGGAAGGCAATAATGATATAAGGTTTATGAGGATATCCAAAAGATTTAAATCACTAGTTATAATGGTAATGCTTTGTAAGAAATATTTAAAAGTTTAAAGCTCGAGGATTGGGATGTTGGTAATTGTTCCATTGAAGGAAATGACAATGTCTAAGATAGGATAAGAGTTTTCATACATAGAAGATAAAACATATATGGTGGTTTTGGGTAAGATACCAAAGAAAGCAAATGACTTCTTTTAGCATATTATAGTAGTGTCTAGTCTGAAAAAGGGATAGGAACGGGTAGTTTGGATGGCATCGAATTCCTTGAAAACAATCTCCATGGTTTCGTAGTACTATTTCATGCATTTTTTGTTGCATTAGAGCATTTCTTAAATCCATAGTTTTCCTGAGGATTATTTCATAAATTTCATCAGGGAGATCTTGTTGATTGTCATTAATGCTGATAATGGCACCCAAAAAAGGAATTATTGGAAGAATTTGTTGATCAGAGAATTTCTTCCTTGAGAACATGTCTGCTAAAACATTGTTTTTGTATTCAAAATTCCATTAGAGAAACCATCTAGACCACCTCAGTAATTGCGGGTTTGGAAGTATTTTGTTTTCGAATTTCAACATGTTGGAGAAAGCAGACAAATCCATTTCTACAAGAAAATTGTGGCCGATAAGATGAAATTGGAAATTTTCAATTCCTCGTTTGACAGCCAATATTTCTTTAAAAGTAGAATGATAATGCATTTCTGGATATTTAAATTTTCCACTTTTATAGCCACAAATCATTCTATTTTTTCCAATTTGCTCAAGCAAAATACATGCCCAAAATTCATCTAATGCGTCGGTTTGCAAAACTCTTTTTCCATTGGAAGTAATTCTCAAAGAAGGTAAATTTTGAAATAATCTTTTGAGCTCCTGAACACACTCAGTCTATTTTTGTTTCCATGGTGGTGTTTTTTTCTTTAATATGAAATAAAGAGGACTGGCAACAAAGAAAGCTTAGGAATAAAAGGGGACATGTAATTTACAATATCTAGGAATTGTTGGATTTGTTTTACAGAAGTCAAGGTGTCAGGAAATCTAAAAGAT